CTGAATGGCGCATTCAGCGCTTTGTGAAGTGTCTGACCGCTACCGCGCTACCGAACGACAGCCGCCTGCCGCACTAGCCGCAGCGTGTGAGTTGTTGCTCATAAATACTCGTATATTTTATATTTTCATTTATGACTTAAGCAAACATTTGCGTTACTACGTGTTAAATGCATACAAATCGGCAGCCTCTCCACCAGCCAACCTTTTTTAAGTGCCGCAGCCTGTGTTCATGCGCATCCGTACCGAATACACATAGCGGCAATTGTGTTCGTGCCAATTCAGCGAAAGTGCCCGTAAATTTAAAATACGCAAATCAAGCAGAGTTTGTGTATACACAGTTAATTTTAAGCTGTAAAGCCAGAGATTTTTGTTTTTTTTTTGTTTAATTTTCCTTCATCAACTTTATGCCTTTTGAAAATCAATTAAAGATGTTCGCCTGCAATTTGGACAAATGTGTACAACTCGCCGTTTGCGGAAATATTTCATATATTATAAATATTTTTTTATTTTGTTTAACATTTTTATTTAATACAATTTTACAACGTGTTTGTTTTCAGCAATTGCTGCTTTGGCCTGACAACTGTCTGTTTAATGACGAATTTATAATTTCTAACAATTACGCATTTTAGTGTTGGGCTTTCTGATTGCAAATTTGCCGATTTCTTTTGTAGTAAGTGTATTTATTTTTTACTCGACTGATTAGTTAATTGTGGCTTTCACAAACAAATTTCCGATGCTATTAAAATTTTACACATTTTCTTTGCTTTGAATTTATAACTTTATTTATAAAAATTTTTTAGCTTCAAACCAGGAAAAAAGTATAAATATAACTAAATCTGAAAACGTCACCGACCAATGATCATTTTGCTAGTTATTTATAGCCACGTATATGCTATGGTGGTCCGCTATCGACGGTTCCGAAAAATGAGCAGCTTCTTGAGGAGAAAAGAATGTAAGCAAAATTTCGGATCGATCACTCAAAAACTGAGGTTAAATACGCTCAAATTTTAAAATCGTTTAATAGTGTTTATTTTAGAAGATTTTTGCTACTGATTAACTGAACTGTTATTAATTAATTAGTTCATTTTATTACAATAGTCCATAAAAGTTGTATCCAAATTCAAAGCCTAAACTTTTTTGATAAAAGCTAAGAAGAATAAGTCACAGTTCAAATATTAACCTTTGATGGGTTTAATTAAGCTGTTTGACAATGATTTATAATGAATGACATAACTGAAATTATCTTCAATTTTACAAAAACCAATTTTTCGGTTGAGGTGGCATTTTCCACTCTAACACCTATTTTTTCGAGCTTGAAAGTAAATTAGCTGAAGATATGCTCCATATCAATCTTTACTACTCACTATTTAAAAATAAATTGTTTCAAAAAAAGTATTTTTCTGGAATATAAGCAAAAGACCAATAATAGTTCGAATCAAAAAACAAAAACTTTCAAGCCTTGGACTTGTGAAATGGCAATGAAAACTTTCATTCATAAAACTATGGTGTCTTCCAATTAGTTGTATACTTAAACTTATCACATTCCAATATTGTGTGAAGAAAGATTGAAAGACGCTATATTATAGGCATGAACTGCAAAAGATCACTTATATCCACAGTTTCAATGTAACACTTTTTTAAGAGAAGCCACCAACAATTATTTTTCAACCAAATATTAATGTTTTGTGGAAAAGAACCCAAAGTGGCGTCCTAAATTCACAAGAAGTTTAATAGGTCTTCCTATATACCTGTAGATATGTATGTTTGTATGCCACTAGGAATTCTTATTTTGTAGAAATTATTTCAATATTTGTTGAAATCACACTAAATGCGCAGTTATGGTATGAAAGCATGAGTATATTACTTTTCTCCAGCAAAAATGATAAATCACTTTAAATACTGAAATTATACCACTTAGCAGCATATTTTGGACACAAAAGTATACAAGTATAAGTTATAGTGAACAGCGCTATTATTGATTTTCTAATTTGCGTAATTTCTGCCTATGACTTCAGTCAACTAAATTTTGGGAAAGCGGCAAAAACAAAAAAATTAGTTGTATATATAATTAAAACTATGCTACAGCGCTCTGTTTAATTAGCTTTAGTTACAAATATGTATGTATAAATACGAGGGTAGCGTGATAAATTTATTGAATTGAAAGAATTTTTAATTTTTACCATTTTAACTTTTTGTATATTATATATAGAGATATGTCTCTTGGTCATGTATTTTCAATTATTTATCTCTTAGAAGAAATAATAATAATCTCTAGATATTTTGTAGTCAAAGTAAATACCCGAAGTACTATAATCACTGTCGTGAGATTTTGATTATAATATTTTTGGTGGATTTAACTTTTTCTTTTTTTGGAAAATCTGAAGAGTTCCTAATATCAGTAATGTTAGAAACAGAGTTGCTGACTTATTAAACTATCCTAATAAAATATTAAGCCACCCTAGTAAAATATATTAATAGTAATATGTAAGTACACATGTTTTGAATTGTTCGTGGTAAATGAGAAATTAGCTAAAATTATAATATTTTAAGTAGCAAATTCAAAATTCTCTCAGAAAGCTCAACATAAAATACCGAATTATATATAGTAGATAATTTTCAGCGCAAAAACTATAGCGTTATGCGAGAAGCTGCGAACTTTTAATTTTCAGGCGATCTATGATGGAATAGAAATTTTCAGCTTAGAAAGCTATTAATAGTATCGTTAATGCTGAAAGTTAGCCTGTGGTGAGTGCAACACAGAATATAAAACACACATTTATTTTAGAACAATTTTGCAATTTAATAAATACTGTTTATTTAATTTCACTCACTTTTCCATCCGTCGGCAATCGTTTTTACATAAACCATTAATAGAGAAACCTGATACATGACTAACTAATCTTCTAGAGAATGTTAGATAATTAGACTAGCCCAAAAGTTTCTCCGACAATTCGTTTATCAGATGCGTAATCCAAATAACATCTTAGCAAACACACACATGCAAACAAACGAATGTGTTTGCGTGATTTTAAACTCATTTTATCTACCAATAAACAAATTGCGACTGCTGATAAAAAAGTCCGTGTATGATGTCACAAAGTGGGGTTGCTCATAGGGTGGGTGGAAAATATGAGTTCACTCCATAATGGAAAATTGGATATATATTTATAAACTACATGGATTAAGTAGTAAGAGAAAGTTTTTAATAAAACAAGAAAAATATTTAAGTTTGGTCACACCGATGCTAGAATACCCTTCACAGGTGCATTTTTTATAGCATAAAAGGATACCAAAAATCTTAATTTCGATTCGTCAGTTTATGATTTTGATCAGTTTATGTGTCAGCCAGTTTATAGGGCAGCTATATGCTATAGTGCGCTGATCTGAACAATAAAGTGAGAAACTGCGAGTGACGATACCTTTTCAAATAAAAAAGTTTTCCACATAAGGATTTGAGTTTGTTCGGTCAGATTGAACAATTTCTTCGGTGATTACAGCAAAGCCTTGGATAATAATTTACGACATATTTCCTGAAGACACCTCTACAAATAAAAAAGTTTGCCATACAAGGACTTAAGTTCGATTGGTCGGTTTATATGTCAGCTATATGCTACAGTGGTCTGATATCGGCGGTTGCGACAAATGAGCAGCTTTTTGGTGAGATCGAGGTCGATATCTCAAAAGCTGAGGGAATAGTTCGCGTACAGACGGACAGACAGATGGACAGGCATGACTAAATCGATTTGGCTCGTCACTCAGATCATTTATATTTTACTTTATGGTGTCTCCGGCGTTATCGTTTTGGTGATGCAAACAACGTATACCCTGTTTAGAACATAAAAATGTATTACTAAATATATAGTATTATCAATAGAAAATACTTTAAAAAAAGTTACTTTTTAGTTTTAAAAGATTTAACTTTTCGTAGGAAACATATTTGAACAAAATTCAACGGTGGAAAACTCTAAAGATAGGAGAATAATTCATATCAGGGGTCACTTGCCGTTTTCTTCCTACTTCTGAATTGTTGTGATTGTGCAGATTGGATGCATAGCAGTTTACCTATATTAACGTCCCAAAAAAGTTGAAGCTTTATCCAAAATCATCTTTTGTGCTATTCTCTTACATTCTTTTTCAATTAATATCATCTAAACGACCTGAGACTGTTCCTAGAGTTACTGGAGCACTGATAGGGTTGAACGCTCCTTCTTTGGTATTCCCGTTGGCGTTTGGAAGTCCGGAAAATATAATGTTCCATTATAAACCTTTTAAAAGGTTTATTCTTATGGTTTTTTTTTAAATTTTCTAAATTCGACTTAGTCTTCACATTGCTTATCGTGTCATATATACTATCTACATTCTTAATTATTTTTAATTATTATTCGAAAGTATGGTAAGTTTAAAACGGAGATCAAAACCAAACCGAAGTCCATTATACTTGTATAATGGAAGTATTTTTTCACTTAAGCAATTAAGTTCAATTCAGGATGATAGACACTCCGCATGATCTGAAAAAGTCATTATATAAAGATGTAGTGCTCATATTTACGATATACAATACTTAACTTTCATATGTTTTCCCGTGATTGTTTAAAGACTCATGATATTTAAAATTGATACCACATATTAACTCAAGAAATCAGGGTTGTATTAAATAGGTGCTTTTTAAAGAAAAAGGGCTTAAAAATTTTACTTTCTCTTTCAATCCTCGAACATACCATCACATATGTACAGTGCAATGCTTTTGTTTTTTTCGGCATTTGTCCTAGTCTAAATACACCATTATTACATGCTAACCATTTATTTGCCTAGCAATTTGGCCATCATCAAATTTGCAAATTACTTTATTAGCTACAAAACAAAAAAAGCATGACATACAAGAATACAATAATTATTAAGCAAATAAAAATATACATAAAAAGCGAGGGTATTGGCTTCTTAAAGTGAGTTCCTTTTGATTCTCATAAGAAGTAGTAACTAGACTTCCTTAAAATTCTGACTATCGAAAATGTTGCCAGCCAATTTATTGAACAGCTTCTATTGGACACGAATGTTCAATGTGATAAGTTAGTGCGCAGAGTGGTGTATTATATTTTCCTAAATTGTTTTTCAAAAATTTATATTTTATTTCATCAGTGCAAAATTATCTCTTGTCCACTACGACTTGCATCATTTGGCCGGATAATGAGGACTTCTCCATCAGCTGGCAGTACGCCAAACCGCCAGACGCTGCAATCATAAACATACGACTGCGTGATTTGGAGCAAACATTTTCCAAAGATGTTGTAGACTTTGCAGCTAAGCGTGAGGAGCTGCTTAACGATTATGTGGTCTTAAATCCATTCGTGGAAAAATTGACTTTGTCAATAGAGAATCACATTGTCAGGTATATATTATACAAAAGAGCACTCTAGAGCACATACAAATTATAATTTTTCGGCAGAACTTTATAGCCTTTCAAATGGATATTCCAATTTTCATTGATGCCGTTATAAATGCCAGCCGTTTTTCAATTTGGCGTTCGTCAAATAATAAATTTGTGTTTGTCTACAATAAAGACGATTTGCCGGACGAACACTTTGAACATCGCTTTTTCGAAGGTGAGCTCGGCTCATTAAGAATATATATTTATTTACAAATATGTGACTAATATTCTGTACACACAGATCAAACTGGCATACTTCTTATTGAAAGATCTATTACCGATCCGGCAGTTTTCGATTTGAAAACAAATAAGTTAAGTCGGCCCACGAGCTGAGAACCCGAAACAATTGTATTTACTCGATCGTTTCAATGCCGAAAGTAATACGTTTCTTCATGGCAATGATCTCTTTCCGGATAAGCTTTCCAATTTACAGGGACGTGAGGTGATTTTGGCCGCTTTTGACTATAGACCTGATGTGGTTTTGAAATATGTGCGTGGAATTTCTGCGTAAAAAGTTTTGAGAAATTCGAAACAGCAGATTGTTAAATAGATTGTTTTCAAATATTTGTTTTAAATTTAGTACCCTGGCGCTCCATCTCGTGACCGAGCATTTGCACCCGATGATACAAATGGCGATGTAGAATTGGATGGCACAGAAGAGAGAATTTTAAAAACATTCTGTGAAAAGCATAACTGTTCAGTAGATATTGATACGTGTAAGTAACAAGTGAAAAAATAAAGTATATATCTTCAGCTGATATTTGGAAAAAAATATTCGATCTGGAAAGAAAATTACATTTTGAGGATTATCTGAAAGGTAAGTTCGGAGATACTCTTTGAGCAATTTATTGTCTGATTACTCTTGAATTGGATTGACGTTTTGAGAAATTTTTTTCCACGTCGAAATAATATTAATTTTTTTTGTTGTGTATTTAGGATTAAGAATCTGGTTCTTAAAAAACTTGAAACTAAAGAAAACGGTAGATAATATAAATATCAGGAATATTGTGGCTTCGTGGGCGATAACATATAATTTTTCATTTATCTTTTTCTCCTAATGACAGCTGAAGCCGATGACTGGGGCATTGCTTACAGGAATATGACTGGAGAGGCGGCCTTGGGTATGATAGCTAGGGGCAAAGCAGAGGTGGGCATGAGCGCCATGTATACATGGTTGGTACTACTAGAAGGAAATTCTGAAAAATAAATATTTATATAATATGAATCCATAGGTACGCCGATTACGTAGCGCTGGATATGTCGATGTATATTGGACGATCGGGTATAACTTGTGTGGTGCCGGCGCCTAAGTAAATGTAATTCTTTGCAGAAGTTATTTCTAATAATACTTTCCATTTATTCACAATAGGCGCCTAGCAAGCTTATGGTTGCCCATTGAACCCTTTCAGCCGGCACTTTGGGCTTTCGTATTCGTTTGTTTGTGCGTGGAGATCATAGCGTTGCTCTTTATAGATCACGCCCGTCCGATAATTATATCATTGAGTGAAACGATGCGTGCTTCAGAGGAAAAGCAAAATAGTTGGGCTCGCAATTTTCAGTATGCTTTCTCGACGACGATGTTGCTGTTCGTCTCACAATCGAATAAGGGCACCATGGTGAACTTCACACCGCTGAGGCTAATGCTCTTCGCCAGCTTCTTGAATGACATCGTCATAACGAGCATTTATGGCGGTGGATTGGCAAGCATACTCACCGTGCCGAGGTAACTTGTTTAAAGATTTGGGTACTAATTATTAAAAATATTCATATTTATGTTTATAGTTTTGGCCAAGCAGCCGATTCCGTAGAGCGACTCTACGCTTTCCAACTCAAATGGGGTGCGGACTCTGAGGCCTGGGTGTCGGCTATACGTGACGATGAGAGTGTAATTTTTTACTTGCGAGTGCCGCGAGTTTTTAACTTTATTTGCTTTCTGATTTTTTTTTAGGAAATAATAAAGGGTCTGCTGCGCAATTTCGATATTTACAGCGCCGAAGAGCTTATGGTGTTGGCTCAGAAGGAAGAGATGGGTTTTACCATCGAACGGTTGCCCTTCGGTGAATTGAATTAAAAATCACAAAAGCTCTAGAGAAAAAAGCATCTTCTCTTATAGGTCACTTCGCCGTGCAGGAGCACTTGACGCTCAACGTTTTGAGCAAAATGAAAATCATGGTTGAGGACATTTATTTTCAGTACACGGTCGCATTTACCGCGCGCATGTGGCCACTGCTGGACAGTTTCAATGAAATGGTATTCATGTGGCATTCGTCGGGCTTGGATAAATTTTGGGAGTGGCGCATTGTAGCCGACAATTTGGATGGTGCCGTACAGAAGGAGCTGATGGCTTTGCAGTATTCGAATTTAGATGATATTGGTCCGGTTAAGTTGGGCATGGCGAATTTTGTTGGCATGTTGTTGCTGTGGTTATTGGGTATAACTTGCGCATTTTTGGCTTTTTTGACCGAACTGTTGTTGGATCATATGAAGCGTGCCAAGAAAGTGGCTGAGCATGCCGTTAATGAAATAACGAAAGGAAGTCTTTAAAGTGTGGTGTGGAATTGGAACTAAGTTATATAAGTTTGTCTATTAGTAGTAAAATATGGGTAGAAGAAATAAATAAAAATTAAAAAATTCTTGAAAGAACCAGAAACTTACTAGAATTTCGGCTCAGTAAAAACGAAAAAAAATCTTTTTAGTTTCTGAGCATTTCTTCCCAGTTATTTTCCTTTTCCTATTTTGTTGATTATATTTTGTTGCACAAATTTTTACTGTAATCATCATTATACCATTACGTTTCATTATACCATTACTATAATTAAATTAAAACCGAATAGTAAATCCAAATGGCCATTATAAATCATGTTTATAGTTGTCTCAACCACTGTTTTGTGGGCCATAACAAAGAGCGAGTGAATTTGACCCGTCTGCCGTACATCTTTAGACACTTTTGTCTGTCTGTTTTCGTCTGAAAAGTTTAACGCATAAATTGAAAGAAATTTCTTCATACCTTTAGTTGCAAATTGATTTATGAATTTACAAAGCGAAAGTGAACAGAAGAGATGATGGTTAATTATAAGAATTATGATAATACTTGTATTATGCGCCGGTGGTTCAGAAGAAGTCGAGGTAATCAAGTTTGTTCTGCGTTTTTGTTGTAATTTAATCTTCACACTTTGGTTGGAACTGTTCTCTTATATTCTGGGAGTAGTCAAAAACATACAGTGCTTGGAATATAAGTTGCTGTACTGATTTGCTGAGAAAATATTTATTTGACACTTGAATGTCAATTTCAAGTTTTGGTGATTATGGTTTTAAGATTTGAGTTCTAAGATAGAAAGTCGTACTGCAATATTTGGCTTAGAAATTATTGCAACATTTAAAAAACATAATTTGAGATTCTTTCGGTGAAAAATTGGGATAGTAAAAGTCTTGAGGTGTGTGTCTTTACTAGACTTTGGGTTTAAATCTCTACTACAGCAAAATTTTCTCCACAGTTTAAAGATACTTCCTTGACATTAAGACGTTCCACACAAAAGAAGTACAAGTAAGTCAAACAAATGTGAAAAACATTCGGCTAAATTTATTCACGTCGGCAAAATTTCGTTATAACTCATACATAGATATATTTCCGATTAGAATTATTCATTTATGTGGCATACAGATATAATAATTTCAACCACCGATTATAACCGATCCTTGCAGCGAGGAAAAATTCGCAGAAAAGTGTCGTTACTTTTTATTATAGTATGTATGCAGTATCTCCTCATATATACAAGTATTAATCAGTTTACTTTTTATTTTCACTTATTTACAATGGATTGGGGATGTTGATGAGAGAAAGAGAAGTGGTCGTCCTCGCAAACCAATACAGCGATAAAAACTGTTCGCAAACGCATTCGCAGAAATCTCCTTAGAAAACAGAAAATTATGTCAACGGCATATTCAGTGGTACGTGCTCAAGGGTCATGGAAGTATCGTTTTTACATATAAAAAAGTATCCAGTGTTGATAAAGTTTTTATTAAGCAAAATGACAAAATTTACGCAAAAACTACCAAGGACGCAAAATACATTTTCTAAACAGACAAGGCAAAATCACACAGGAGATGATTAGCCGTCTGGAAGTCCTGATTTGAATCCATTGGACTAAAGTTTGTGGTCAGAGTTGGGGAACATGGCCTGTCGAATACTCCACCAAAATTTGGAGAGTCTCAAAAATCTTTGTTTTGAGCAGCGTTGTAAATAGCAATAGAAACTGTGAGTGCTGCTATTCATCATTGGCCGAATGGTTTAGGGGTTTATGAAAGCATAAAGTAACCATTTCGAAAAAAGTTTTGTATATTTTTATAACGGCCTGAACTTGTAACAGCAATTTTGGCAGGACTAACTATGTATATAAGTACAATGAAACCTTTAGCGTAAGGTCCTAATCTAAATTTTTATTATATTATATGATTTCTTATTTTTACTCTCCATCTATTTTTAGTTATTGTTAGTGTTGCAGTATACATAATATGTTGTAATATTAATAATGCATGTTCAGGTGTGTAGTAATACTTATTATGTACAAATTAGAGATTACGTATGAAAAGTATTTCATTAAAATTCATAAAAAAATACTACAAAAAAAGTATGCAAGGCAGAATTGAAAGTGAAATTCAAGTATTCAACTCTCGAAAACGTCAACTACCACAAATGTTTTCGTAATTCACATAACCAACTTGAAGTTTGTTGTTTTTTTGTTGTTATTATGTACATAGCAGTAAAAAGCGAACGACTCAAGGCACTTGCGCTGCTATCAAACGACACACGAGTACAATAACAAAATTTCCATTTTTTTTTGCTCGAAAATAATTTCATATTATTATTAGAAATAACGGCAGATGGCATTTGCTGCCTTTGCGCTACAATCTAAATTATTAAAATAATTTTAATTCCAATGCTTAATAATCACACACAGCCACGCATACATATTTACAGGTATGTGTATGTGGTTAGTGCAGGCAAAAGTCACTCAAGCCACTAACTAAGCAAGCAACTAAGCGGCTGTGGGTAATTAAAAATTCAATGAGTAGTGCATATATAATTGGCGGCAAAAGCGACAGTAGTTCGGCGTGACGAAAGTGCCGCTGCACAGGCGTGTACTTACATATGTGGTTGTGTATTTTAAATGTGAGTGTGTTGATATTTTAGAAAAGTATGTAATTTTGTTTGGATGTGTTTGTTTGTTTTCATTTTTGTGCGCGAACTTTGTATGGACATGTGTGACGTGTTTTTTTTGCAGAAGCTTCGAAAAAAAAGCATATGCCGTGCTGAGCATAACAACAACAAATATGTGTATAAATATATTGGAATGTATATACTTCAGATTATTATTATAAATATTATGCAAAAATACATGCGTGTTTATTATAACTATACGAGGGCAATCGAATAAGTATAAACAAAGGCTTTAGCATTTCCCTCGCGGCGGTTTGAAATGCAACACTGCGGTTGTCGTTGGAATAAAAGCTAATTTGAGCCTGTAATGTCAATGAATGTCAGTTTGACAGCCATTGAAGAAAAACTCTCTTATTTTATGCAAAAATTTAAAATTATTATTAGTTTTGTTTTTCTTCGATAAGGTTACAGTTCTGCCAACGACACGAGAAGTCCTCAAAAAATACCTGGTCTCCAAAAGAAGTAAACATATTCGAAATTCTCTGGATTCATTTTATCTGAGGCATGGATCAAATGTGTTTACTCAATATTTAACCATGACAAGCTTTCTTTTCATCAGTTAAACTGAGTAATAACTTCGAAATAATTCGTCTGGAACTGGTTTAGGTGTCGCTTAACGATCGTGAATGAAGTATGGACTTCTCGAAATGTGTTAAAAATATGAGAATATGGATAAAATGTGGTTTTGCCTTAAAGTAAGTTAAGAACGATCACTTTTTGAGTTGCTTGCGGTTTTTGGAAGAGATCAATAATCATTGGACTATTTTTTCTTCCAAAGTTCGATTAAGATACTCGTTGACAAGAGATGATCAAACGAATAATAGTCAATACTTTGAAAAACACTAAACACCGATTTGGAGAAAACAAAATCTGAATAAGTCCCAGTTAAAAATAAAACGCTTTCTACCGAAAAAAGTTTCACCGACACATCGCACCACCCTCGTACAATGCAAAACCCGCGCATATGACTCCAAAGGAATGCCACGCTATAATCACTAGCAAGTAGAGACACTTTTCTGCAGCACTGTTTTGGTTTTTCTTGGGGCGGTGCAGACAATTGCCACCGAAACGCAATGAAAGTGTTACCTTTTTTGTTGAAAACAAGAAAAAAAATTTAACCACTCATAGACCAGACTACGTGCCGGGTTTGTATGTCTGTATGTATGCACATTAACCTTTCAATCAGCTGCCAACGGTTGGTCAACAGCTCATCAGCTGCCGGCCAGTTGGACACGAGGCTAGTCGTTAAGGGGCTTTCTTATGCAAAAATTTCACCATAATTACTTGAGGAGCGTTTAAGCTTCTTAGTTTGTATATTACGCTCATTTTTTTGTCTCTATATTTTCTCCTTGCTAAATTTATTGTCGCCTTTTGCGCTTTTTCGCAACACACAAATGGCCATGACCCACTAAAAGAAAGTTGAGTTGAGGCAAGCNGCAAACAATAGAACTATGGAAGTTAGTTAGTTGATTCAATTCATTAGATCATAACTACAGAAGTTCAGTGAGGCAGACTGTAAAGGAAATCATCTACAAGTCGGTACACCTAGAATTTTAAGTTCTATAACAAATTTACTCTGCATCGTTAAATAATTGCACACAGAAAACCAAACAAATGCTTAACAAAGATTTTTACTTAGTTTTATACGAAATGTAAATGAAGCTGGAATTAAAGCCAGAAGAACAAGCTCACAGGCTCTACTTTAAAAACTACGAATAATTTTTTGAGCGAGCTATATAGACAATATTAGCGACTCCAGACATTCCTTATCTCTACTTTCATGAGAATCAGAGAACACTTTTACATTGAATGCAAAACTTTACATATATAAGGTCTAGTAAATAGAAATCCACTACTTTTGCGTTAAATTGAAGGTTTAATTATATACCATATATGTATATATTAGGTGAAACATACACCGTTTTGTTCGATAAGTTATTTGCATTTTGAAGGTAATTTCTGAATAACACACTCTCAGAAGCCCTGTTCCCTATTGGCAATAAAACTGGAACAGTAGACTTTCATTGGTGTGGACCACCAACATCATTCACCATAGACAGTAGCAGATATTAATCACATAAACGGTTGCTTGTGCCATGTTTAGTTCCTGGGCATTCGAAATATTGCCTACATGATGGTCGCAATATTTCATTATCTTTTGGATTATGGAATTTTAAAGTATAAAATCTCTTTTTTACACTATTTTATTTATCTACGTTTAGATTAATATATTTTCATTATAAATATGTAGTTATTTGTTTAGGTAATTAATCGTCACTTAAAAAGCCCAAAAACATCTGGTCGCCCTTTTATCATATTCAAACTGCTATTTATAACAGTTATTTGGTTATAACCATCGAGAGTGGTGAACCGAACAGACAACTGGTATAAAACAAATAGACTGGCATAAAAAATTAGAAATATAATAGCAAGATATTATACCACT